TTACTAAGAGGCCAATCTGTCCCTCCACTCTCAAGCTATTGATACATCCAGGTAAAGGGCCTGACATGACCATATAACCCAAAAGGGAAATCTTCCTATAGCCTTAAGAGATGCTTATCCTGCCGGGGTGGGCATGAAGTCTCTGAATTTGCTGTTGTACTATTATACATGAGGATATATATAGTTATATAGGATACGTATATATGTCTTTAAGATACATATAGATATATGGGGAGATACATACAGCTATTGTAGATAGATTAAGACAACATCTGGATGACTTAGGAACCACAGAAAAATCTATTCTGGGCATGCTATGGGGAAGTCTGCACCTGAGTGTTCCCACCACCTACAGCCTCCAACACTGAGCATGCACTTGTCCTAGAAGCTTAGAAGGCTGAAGTAAATTTACTGCTCCCAGTAACTACTTCTGGCACAGCACATCTGGTTGGATTTCATTTCTGTAGTCTGTGCATCTTAATGAAAGTTATGGAGAAAGACCAAGGTGAAAGAATTCATTGTTTCACCTATACCTGAACACAGAATTGTAATTTGCCTTCATAATGCTGTACAAGTAGTAACTTTTTCTTGGATATCATAACATATAGGATGTTTTATGAATACACAGAAAACAGTTATTCAGCCATTCTGTCTCCCATATGAGGCAACAGTAACTATTTATACAGCTGCAGAGCTGTCTGTGGTTTAATTTCCCTAACACAGTTTCAATATGAACTTCCAATGCAATCTAAGCAGACCACTAATAATAAAATCTTATTTACTTGTGGTATTAACTACACTATAATTTTGCTAAATGATTTTTCTTAATTGTCTAGCTTTTTTACATGAGTGCTGTTAATCTGCTTCCAGATCTTCATTTGGCTTCAGCAGTAGTCCACCCGCTCATCCAAATGCAATGCTGGAATGTACCCGAGAACCAAGAACCTAGCATACCCCAGAGAAAATGTTTAAATATATGCAAAAAAAGGATTTTGAATATTTTTTAATCAAAATGTCTTAAGTGTTTACAATTTACTAACAATTAGGCTTGTAACTGTTTCAAACAAGACTGCAATCACTTTATGGCAGTATGTAACGGGAACGGATTCGGAGACATATCCTGGCTGGAAGAAGTTGTCATTTAAATGGATCAAGCAATCAAAAGCGGCAGAGGCAAACAGCACTGCAAGCTGAAATATCTTGTTAATGATAAATTAGCGGCAGAGGCAAGACCATAGTCAAGATCTCCAGGACCTCACTTTTGCCCGTTTCTTGATCGCTTTGCTCCATCCCGCACATGTGCATTTTGGCCCCACCTGCGCAGTATTTCTTCTAGTGAACAAACAACATTTGCTTCACTTCCAGCAACAAACTTTCTTATACTCAGCCAGTTTATTTAGAGCATGAAGGAAAATCGGTCATGACTTCAGATCCTGTACTGCTGGAATTAACAAGCTGGCTGTTGCCAGCACTAAACTTGGAAGTGCTAATGGTAATTAAAATGTATTTTCAAGTAAATCTAACAGTTTTAAGGTGGAGAAGTATCTGTTACTCATGTGAGTTTCCAGACTGCATATAGAAAACAAAAAAAAGTGTTACTTTCTTCAGGAAGATGTCAGCTGTGGGAAAGAAATAATTATTAATGAATTATTAATGCTGTGTGATACAGAATTTGCTCTCCTTCAGTGAGTTTATGGCTGTATGTGTCCTCCAAACTCTTTCCGTAAGAGAAGCTTGAAACTAGAACTTAACTGTATTTTGTTAACTTTTTAGTTGTTACATTGTCGCTTTTACATAAAGATGTGGCAAACAGTGCTGACATAAAGTATCAGTAGATTTGCTATCATTTCACAAAAGCCCATGTAGCCCATTCAGTCAATTTTCCCTTAGGTGCTTTTGTGTAAAATATCTTGTATTAACAAAGTCCTCTTAACACCTAGCTCAAAAGGGACTGTTCCAAAATGTAATCTTCTTGGTTATTCAATATATTCACACTATGCAGTGCAGAAAATGAAGGATAATCATGCTTTAGTTTCCACTTAATTTTCTAATCATGCTTCCTGGCAAATTTAATCTACTGGATCAGTGGGAGGGACATAGCATAGGTTAAAAAAACGTTGACTGTCAGAACACCAGGGGATTTGAATTAATGTTCTTTTACACAGAATGGAAGCATATGGGCCACACAGTGCCACACTCTACTTGGAAAACTAGTCAAAACAGTACCATCTCTATTAACACAATTGCTGACTTGTGCAGAAATCGGATTTTACTTGAGTTAACCTTCAAAAAGCAGTGTCAGAGTGACTGCTCACTAATATTCTCTTGCTACACCAACAGTGTTGCCTATTAACATCTTATGCAGGCCACACCTGTAGAACTCCACAAGTGTTACTGTATAATGTAAGAACCCAGAGACCCCTTATAATAATGTTAAAAAAGCAAGGTCATATTCATCCAACTTGACAATTGCTATCAAGGTTCCATTTTCCTCCTGTAAAAAGGGAAACACACTTGATAAAATACCCTTCATATAAATAATACAGGTTTCACAGTATGGGCTTACTGCTTAGTTTGCCTGCTTTTCCTGCATTACTGCAGTTTGCCTCATTTCCAAGGCTGGAGTTCTGTCTTCATATATAATCAGATGTAGACATTCCCTTCAGATATTTCTTCTTCTAGATTTCTTCCCCATCAACTTCCACAGGAAACAGCGAGGATCTCTCACCAGTCATTTCTTTACATGCAAGCTATAGAATGTTTTATTTGAAGAGAATATAAAGGCTCAAAGTTATGCTCTAAGAGGCTGAAGCTAAAGCTTTATCTAGGCATTAAGTCAGATTAGCTCCAATAAGCAACTTCTTGTTTCTGCAGCCCATGCCTGCCTCAGCAGATGCCAGAAATGAGAGTCATGAGGAAATCTGCTGAAACAAGCTACTATTGACTTACACCATTAAAAAATTACATTTTTTTGTCATCTTTGCTCATTTCTTTTATCCAGCTTTTAATGAGTCACTGAATTATTTCTAAATTCCAAACTCACTTGGGTGACTAGCTTACTTACAAAACAACTGTGAAAAAAGGGACTCACACTGGATTATTAAACTGATGACTGTCAATCTAAGTTTCCATAAAAACCTTTTTATAATTTATTTATGCATGACTTAAATCATTGCTGAAGGGCAGGCATTGACCTGCAAACGGAAGGTACTCTACAGGCCCCTGTTGCCAAAGACCTTGCCTTCTGAAAGCCTCAAAATAATCTAGCTTTTAGCTACTAATGAACTGAGAATGTATTTGTCATAAGGAAATTAATTCTTACCTAAAAGCCACTACAATTCTGTCATGGACACACAAACTCAAAATGCCATTTTTTTTTAATTTTTTTTTTTATTTTAAGGTTCATGAAGCTGGAAATGCCTTTTGGCTTCATGTGGTTTCCTTGCTGACAAGAAGAAAAAAATGGGGGAGTGGGAAGGTCTGGAAATGGCATAAGTAGGTCTGTTAAAGGGATATGAATCTGCTTTGGAGAAAGAAAATATGCTGTTTGCAACAGAAGAATGTATAACATAACAGATTGCTTGTGAGGGAAAACGAGCTATTGGCTGCATGCTGGGATGGGGTAGAAGCATTGACACAGAAGAGCCTCTTCAGTCTTCTGATGAAACACTAACTGGGCATGGCAAACTCTATATGGGAAAATAAAACCACATGGGACACTTTCTCTTGACACCTTCATAACACATACAAAATGTTTTGGTGATTAATATAAAACCACACACTAAACTGTGTGTGGAAGCAACTTGTGCCAATAGTCTTAAAGACTGATAAACCTCTTGTGGAAGATGCAAACAAGTTGGCGGTAGAAGTCTTTCTTCCTTCATAAAATCCAGGGGAAGGAAATCAGTCCCCAAAGAAACAAGGCAGTGGCCTGTTTTCTAGATCATGGCAGAAAGGAACACAGCTATTTTTGCTTTATACATCTCTGTGATCTAAGGTATTTGGAAAAATATTCCTCTATGGCAAGGAGAATAAATCTGTTCAAAAATTCAGACAATAAATTAAAGGTTTGAAGGAGTTAATGACTTGTATGAAACAACCACTTTCATATTTCATTGAAGAAACACCAGTTACAGGCCACACACACTGTATAGCTAAAATGTTACTGTGAAAAGAAAACATAAACCCCAGTGTACATATTCAGTGATTGTCTTATATTAATTCATTAGCTTAACCCTTGTAGAACACCCCACCGACTTACTGGAATGTACAAGACTGTAAGGGGACGTTGGAATTTGACAATCTCCTGTTTTCCTAGACGGAGGTCACAGTCCTCAACAAGTAAAATAACAACGAGAAAAAAGGTGCCAGGGAGTATGAAGATTGGGGTTGTTCCATGAGGGGGTATGGGCAGGAGCTGCAGTGACCCCAGCACATGACATACCCCCACCGTCCAGGGTGCAGTCACACTGTGTCTGGAGATGGCAGGTGGAGATGGGTGCTGGTAACAGAGTCCACCCACAGCCCTAGGCATGTGGGTAAGCCATGAACTGGTCCAGGGTCCTTCCAGTGAGCCCTGTCAGGAGGAGCAGGAGACAGGGCTGAAGACAGTGCTGGAGAGGTTACAATGCAGTTTAAAGGTCCACATGAGAGGCAGGTACATCTTCAGCCACTGCTCAGGGCAGGACTGGGGCTGCTAAGGGCAATTAAGGCTAATCAGTGCCCTGAGACAGTACCACTTACATATAACATGCTTTAGTACAATGTACATACATTAATATTAAACAAAGTGCTGGTGGTATGAAAAGCCTTATCAAGGCCAGTAGAACTGTTTCTGGATTTTGGCCTGTTACCACTGTTTGAGTTTCTTTGCAACATGTGCTTCTTTTTGATAATGTGAAATAATCTGAACAATTATGAAGCTATTAATAAGAAGAAAAAGCAAGCCTGCCAACCATATAAGTAAAAAAGTGTTATAGCCTTTGAACTCCAGAAAATATGCAGGAGCAAGCCACAGGCCTTGTCCAACAAGCCACAGAAAGAGAAGCATCACACTACGACGCCAGGACATCTTAATACTAGGCATTATGAGGGGCAAAAGGCAGAGATACCAGACAAAGTACTGGGACGTGCACACTTTGTTGAAAGTCACAAAAATTGCAGTGTGAAGGAAACAACAGAAGGCAAGGTCTCTGTAAAACGCTATGGACACAACCAGGAGCAAAAGCAGCTGAGGCAGGAAAGCTGCGAGTCCGAGGGCAAAACTCCATTTGCTCTCTGCAGTTAAGTACAACATGTAGAAGTAGGGAGAGAAGTTATGACGGATATCCCTCCTGGTCAAGTGGTAGAGGTAGGCATGCTCCCAAAACTCCCAGCCATAGAGGTGGTAAAATGCAAAAGTCAAGGAAGCCAGCACAGATCCAGCAATCGCCCCAAAACGCAGCACATCGCGGTTCAGTACCTTCACAAAAAGCCGCCAGGCATACGCTACGAATGCAAACTTCGGGTTTCTGCCACCCCCTGCCCTTTCCCCACCACACGGTTTGCTCTGCAGGCGGAGCGCTATGGGCAGCGCGTAGGTCAGCGGGTATATCTTCATATGCACGGCCAGCCCATAGCAGACCGCGGCCTTCCCTACGCTGCCCCCCTCCACCAAGTACAGC